TGGAACACTGGATCAGCTCTTTACTCTCACTAGGGTCCTTGAGGGGTCATGGGAGTTTGCCCATCCAGTCTACATGTGTTTTATGGACTTTGAGAAGGCATTCGACCGTGTTCCTGGCATTCCTGGAGTATGGCATTGGAGGCCCGTTGTTACAGGCTGCTAAGTCCCTATACAAATGGTGCTAGAGTTTGGTTCGTATTGTCAGCAGTACGTCAGACCCCTTCAGGGTGGGAGTTGGACTCCGCTAGGGCTGCCCATTGTCACCGATTCTGTTAATAACTTTTATGGACAGAATTTCTCGGTGCAGCCAGCTGGTGAAGGGTTTCCGGTTCAGTGGCTTCAGGAATCCATCTCTGCTCTTTGCAGATGATGTGGTCCTGTTGACGTCATCATGCCGTGATCTTCAGCACTCACTGGAGCAGTTCACAGCAGAGTGTGAAGTGGTTGGGATGAGAATCAGCACCTGCAAATCTGAGGCCATGGTCCTCAACCAGAAAAGGGTGGATTGCTCTCTTCAGGTCGAGGGTGAGGTCCTGCCTCAAGTGGAGGAGTTCAAGTATCTCAGGGTTTTGTTCATGAGGGAAGAATGGAGCGTGAGATTGACAGATGGATTGGTGCAGCATCTGTAGTATTGCGGACTCTGTACTGGTCTATTGTGGTGAAGAGAGAGCTGAGCTGTAAGGCAAAGCTCTCTGTTTACCGATCGGTCTACATTCCTACCCTCATCTATGGTCATGAGCTCTGGGTAGTGACCGAAAGAATGAGATCAAGGATACAGGTGGTTGAAATGAGTTTTTTCCACAGGGTAGCTGGACTCTCCCTTAGAGATAGGGTGAGAAGTTCAGTTATTCGGGAGAGACTCGGAGTAGAACCACTACTCCTCCACATCGAGAGGAGCCAGTTGAGGTGGTTCGGGCATCGGGTAAGGATGCCCCCTGGGTGCCTCCCTAGAGAGGTGCTTCGAGCATGTTCAACTGGGAGGAGATCCCAGGGAAGATCCTGGACATGCTGGAGAGACTATGTCTCTTGGTTGGCCTGGGAATGCCTTGGAATCCTCCCAGAAGAGCTGGTTGTGGAAAAAGAGATGTCTGGGCCTCCCTGCTCAAGCTGCTGCCCCAGCGACCCAACTTTGGAATAAACGGAAGATAATGGATGGATGGACAAATGGGAGACAATAGTTCAGAGATAAGCTATAATAGCCTCACAAAGCAAATCAAAGAAGGGATAAAAGAAGGATGCACTGAAGCAGAAATTGTTAGAGGTGTATTTAGAATTGTCAAGCTTGTACCTTCAGAGACATGCTCATGCTTAAAGACTCACTGTCCCTCCCTGAAATGCAAGGCTTCCTCAGATCCCACCGTGGGGAAAAGGCAACAACTGAGATGTTTCAGGAGTTAATGTGCAAGGGACAAACAAAGCAAGAATCACCATAGCAGTTTTTGTATAGAAGATTGGACTCAAGCAAAAGCTAAACTTCCAGTCCAAACAGGCCCAAACAGATACCATTCAGGAAGTGTTTCTCCACACAATATACTGAGGCCTGGGAGTTAGATATGCTGACATGAGACAGAGACTAAGACCTCTGACCCTGAATAATAATGTCACAGATGAGGAGATCCTAAGCAAAGTCATAAAAATAATTAATGATGAGAATGAGCACTAGCAGAGATTAGGTCAGACATTCAACCAAAAGACAATACATGCTCAAAGTGTAGTAGGTGAAGCTGAAGAAAGGAAAGCTAATGAACACCAAACCAAGTTTTAAGGGAACTGGAATCAGCCTATGTTGAGGGACAGCCAGAGGCCGGTACTGAGCCCTGGTCCCACCCAGTAAAACCTGCTTCTGCTAACTAAGTCTAGATGCCTGTCAAACAACACAGTAAATAGACTAAAGGACAAGCCAAATGCAGTAGGAACAAACCCTATGCATCCCCCTGTCAAAGCACCCCAGGCCACAAAGTTCCCCAAGTCGGTAAGAAAAGTCTCCTAAAATGTTTGATTAATGGTTATCCAGTAACAGTATTATTTGACTTGGTTCACAAGTGAGTATAGTAGACAGTGGGCAAAGACACACATTTCTAGCTATCCAGTAAGATTATTAGCTTTTGATTGATGGACTAGAAGTTCATGCAGTCAATGGTCAAACTGTTCCCTATGAAGGGCGGGTCGAACTCACAGTCATTCTCTGTTCATGAAGATCCCAATCTGACTGTGCAGGTCCCCATCACTCCCCCAGTTACTAATAGGAGCTAATGTGCTAGGAACAATTATCCAAAACCAAGAATCAGATGAAGAGGCTTATGCTACATTACATAGCATCCCATGCAGGGCTTTTGGTATGAATGAAGAGCAGGTTGTAGCCATGGTTAGTTTCATTCAAGTGCCACAAAATTATGACTGTGACCCAGCCACTGTAAGAGTTGGCAAAGACAATGTAACCACTCCAGCAGGCAAAGCAGTGCAAGTTTGGTAAAGAGTACCCCAGAACTTTGATACCTTTGACCCCCTTGTGCTTTATGAACCTGCAGA